AGATATATGCACATAGAAAGATATGCTTAGACACTCAGTGTTAATGATTATGAAATTAACTGATCCCCACATATGTCTCTCTTTAGTATAAAATCGAGAAGATGAAGTTACTGTATCTTCCAACTACATGAAACTATTGTGAAACTATTGAATGAGCCACCAAGGATAAGAATATTTTCAAAATGTGGGGTAGCAGATGAGATTACCATAGATTTTCCAGATGTGGAAATCAAGATGGGACTGACTTGCTAAATTAATTCTGAGGTATTCTGGGATAGGAATGTATACTCTCATCAAGCCAAGAAAATATGTTTAAAATCTGATTTAAAAAAAATGTGAAATAGCTTTGAAACCAGAGACTTGTTTGACCTCTTATTATCTTTTCCCCATAATGTTGATACTCCCCAGTGATGAAAGTTACATATTTCGGCTCAGTGAGTAAATACTAGCTCAGACATGGGCGAACTGTTACTGAGATTTCAGAGCTCCTTTCTTGGGGCCTTCAATAAGGTGCTCATATTTTTTCTCATTTTGATATAGAAAATGTTTACTGATACAGAGGTGTAGTGAGAGAAAGGGAAAGAGGGAGGGAGATAGTTCTAGTGGTTAGCTCCTGTTGAGGTCAGGTCATTCTGTTTCTGACAAAATTTTACGCCCTTGCGAATTTTGTGACCTTGAACAATTTAACCGCCCGTGTCTCAGGTGCTTGATCTTAAGATAATATAGCATCAACCTCTTCGGTTTCTCTGAGGATTAGACAGGTATCTATATGCACAGCTCTTAACCCAGGATCTCATCCTTAGTGAGTATGCCAAATTTAAGTGTTGTTATTATGTTTGTTACTAAGATAGAAATAAAAATGATTGTTGTTTTCTACTACTATGTGATTTATTGCATAACAATAGGTAATTGAAACCATTGCCTGAATATGATTCTAATCTCTTAGGTTTGTTGGTCTTTTCCTATACAGAACAGGAGGGATTCACCGATTCTCTTGCACCTGGGTACAAGTTCTAGGGTTGGGATAAAATAGTTATATTTTTCAAAGTAACCTAATAGTTGGTAAGACTGATGCATCTGTCTTAACGACTTGAAAAAAATTACTATTGTTGGTTTTTATTGTTGTTCATGTTGTGTTAGAGATGTGTCAAGGAAGAAAGGTTGACTTCTTAGAGAAGTCTTTTTTAGAAACAAAATTATTTTCTTGCGATCTAATTCTGTTGCCCAAAGTACTCAAAGGATGATGTTTTCAGTCAGTTGGCATGCATCATAACCCACTTGCTAATTTTGTGACTTTGAAAGATTAACCTGCCTATGTCTCAGGTGCCTAATCTTCAGACAATATAGCATCACCCTTTTGGGTTTCTGTGAGGATTTAGACAGATACCTATATGCTCAGCTCTTAGCCCAGAATCTGATCCTTAGGAAGTATGCAAGTATGATGCTTGCATCATAAACCTTTTGGAATCTCTCATGAAAGTGCCTTAATCAGCTTGTGAATCCTGACTCGTCACTCATGTCCCTTATGTTGCTGTTTAATATAACGTGGGCATGAGAGATGGTGCAATTTCTATTTCTTGTCACTTGTGGCCAAACAAGAAGATTTAAGATGGATACATACTTAAGTGACTATGTACTGTACCTCCAGAGATGACAAAATTACCAGTAAATATTTTGGCTTATGAAAGGAAACCTTATATAAAAATTAGGTCTATTGAATATTGACTGGCTGGTTTCATTACTCCAATTGTGCAAAGCACACTCAGGAGGAGAGAGAGGAAAAGATCTGCATTATGAGAATAGCAAGGAAGATTATAGTAGTTGGCCTGAAAATTCACCCCTGTTCTGTTTATATGAGTTGTGATTGTTGACATCAGCCTTTTCCTTCCTGCACATTTCATTCAAAACATTTTAAAATGATAGCATCAACGTTGCTTGTGCATATGATTTTGTCTGGGAGAGCTACTGTCAAGCAGGGTCTATCTGGAGTAGCATTCTCATTCATTGTACATGTGATTGGTCAATCTCCTGCCAATGAATTTGATGGTAGCATTTGCTTTAGTTCATAAAATTTACTCTGAGGAAAAAAGTACATAGGTGTACGCATATCACATGTATGTGTGTACATGTGCTTATGAACATACAGGTTTATGCACAAATTATAGTCATGAGAGTTGCAGGATATCAAAATGTTTGTTACAACATAAATACACAAAGCATGCCATGTCACTGAAATTGATGACAGCATAATTTTATTTACCTCTTGGGAATCAATTGAGCTATTGATTCTGCAACAAATGTGTTTTGATTAAGATCATGGCCAGATGGGTTTGACAGCAGTTTCAAACTATCAGAGTTTATTACATATTTCTAGTTTACAGTCAACTAAGATTATATGCACATGATTTTAGTTTAGAGAGATCAATCCGTCGATATTTTTTTCCAAGGACTATATCCTCAATGCCGTATACTTATCGGGTGCTCTTTGAAAACCACTCACCTTCCTGAAAGATTTGATGGTATGATTGATGTTCAGTGCTTATGTTTATTCTGAACAGGGTTAGAATCATTAATATGGAGATTAATAGCCTTCAATATATATTTACAATATAACTGTCAGGCATATGTACAGATTGAGCTTGCACTAGTATAAGAGTTTAATAGTTGATAGTTGATTCCTTACCCAAGAACATTGTCATTTAAGGTTTTTATAATGGTTGTGATCATGGATGCTCTTGGGAAATCATGGGAAGAAATATTCCCAGGGAAAACTAGTTTCTTAAAAAAATTTGAAAATATGTTAATTTTTTCACTTGAAACTGAAGAGACATACCTTGTCTTTCACACATGTAGAAATTTTTCAAGAACAATATAAAAACTACTCATCACAAAATATCTAATGGTATGTAAATATGCTAAATGGAATATGGACTCAGTCAGAGTTTCATGATTTATCAGTTTTTAACTTCAAAGACTCTGGTTAGCTTGCATTTTTTAAACTAATGAGTTTATCACAGCCGGTGAAGAAAATGGTTAAAGTATATCAGCTGTAAATTGGTACAAAGCACTAAAAGGGACATTAGCCTCTAATCAGATTCGAACAGTTCATTAAACCTGCCTTTCCAGAGTGGCTCTTTGTCTTTTCCCCTCCTTTGCGAGCCTTGTTCTTTCCTTTTTGTCTGGGCAAGACCTCCTCCAGGGTAGGAAGCAATATCAACTCATCCTTCATTGTCTACCAACCAAACAGCCTCGGGGATGCTTTGTTGCCTCAGATTCCTGGCACTGTGTGTGAAAGGCAGGGAATGGAGGGCTGGCCACTGCAGAGAAGGCTTCCCTGAGATTCCGTGGTAGCAAGCCAAGCTGGCTGCCTCCAGCCACAGAAGCAAATGACACATTGGGATTTGAGATCTATGTCTGATGTGTAAACAGCCCACCAGCCTCAGTGAAAAGATTTTCGCCTTGGAACAAATTAACTGAGGTCGAGATGCTACTATAGTTTCCTTCTGCTCTAAGTTATATATTAGGATGCAAATTGCTTTAAAAATATGGACACGTCAAAAGCAAAAAATGGATAAGTATATCCTGCCAGTTTTAATTATATTGTACATTTCTAAGAAAAGAACATGATAGTAATTTGTTTCCTTCTTTTTATTACCTAATAAACTAGGTAGCAAGGAACTTTTAAATGCTCACTAGTTAATTCTAGAGTAAATCTGCTTTTTCTTCTTGTTGATTTCTCCAAGCAAAAAGCTGTGATAAGAGACCCTATAAATTCTCTCTCTTAGATTATTTTTCTTAAACAAAAAAGAAGAGTCAAGAAATGGAGAAATAATTAGAGCTTCACTATACTGCACTCTGTTGGTATTATTTGGTAATAAAATACTTAATTTATGATTTGTTGAGATGGAGTTGCTTTTATTAAACTGTCTATTTTGGTAGAAAAGCAACTGTATGGAAAGGGAAAAGCTGAAGGTTTAGAAATATTAACCTTGATTGCCATGTAGGCAAAATATGTAGAAATGAATCTTTTTCTTTTAAAAAGACCACTTCAGTGTCATGCGGTGATAGGCTATAATTGAGCAAAAGTAATCATTCTACATCTCAAATTTAGTCATTTCAGTTTCTTAGTCTGTGTCTGAGGGTAAAATTGACATTCTAAACATGTTTTAATACATGAGCCTGATTTTGGCCTTCAGCAAGCATTAATATGTGGCTTTTGGATTCCCTTCATAGGTTATTGACTTCAGAAAATCTCCAAAGCAGTGAAAATTAGTAAAAAATGACCTTGATTTAATCTATTTATAAATGTTGTTTGAGATTCTATTGAATCCTTTGAGGAGTTGATAAATTTGAGCCAAACACATACCATAACAGAAAATGAATTATCATTTATTCTTGGCTATGACTTCAGTTTAAGAATTTTGGCTTTATCCACAATTCATGTCAGTTGATTTTAAGGTAGATGTCTGGTATTGATATGTCATCATTTGATTAGAATTGCCATGCTTCCAAAATTCAGTATACCTAGAATTTTATTACCTCATTTTTTAAATTATCTGAACTTTAATATTAACATGGGAGGATATGTTATTTGTATCTGTTTTCTTCTTTATGAATTTCTGTATTTAACGCAATCTTCAGAACTAAGGAATAAAGAAAGAAATGTGCCTGATATTTCATTCCACTGTGGCAAAAGTGCAATGAATTGTTCCAGCCCCATATAAATTAATGTAAAGCTTCCTTACTTCAGTTTATTACAGTCTGACCTCCCACCCAGAGGTCAGAGAATCAGACTGATTAATTCAACTTCTTGGTCATTATTTTAAATGAAAGTTCAGAATGGGGGGATAATTGGTTATGCTGATATTCTCATTTAATTATACTTCATTGTTAAAAAATTAGATTAGCAGTACTAAATGCACTACAATGAAAGAAGTCTACCAGATGTCCTCTCTTGAATGCTTTATAGCTGAATTTCATTCTCTCTTTTTTATTGTCAGAATATCAACACCTTTGAGAACAGAATGTTAATGCTTGATGGGATGCCGGCAGTCAGAGTCAAAACAGAGCTTCTGGAATCTGAACAAGGGGTAAGCTGAAGTTTCAGATGACTCCCTTTTTCTCTGTGACAGTAGCTATCATTCTCAGAGCATCCTGAGCTTTGCAGATACTTCTGATTCTTCCCTTGCCAGAACTTTTCTTTCTCGAGTAAAAGTTATCTGGGAGTATTGTTGATTGTAACCTACTCACAGCCTCAGATTTTACAAACTTAGAAAACAAACTACCTGAAATTAGGAAGGCATAGTGGCCTTATAAGAACCTTATGACTTAAAGTTGGTGAATACTTTGTATAGCTAATAAATATCCAAAGCAAAGAAGTAGTATTTAAAAATAAGGTGGGAATATAAACAGTGTAAAAATTGCTGAGTTGTTTGGAAATTAGGAAATTATAGAGCACAGGTATGGGGGTGTTACTGTTTGTTGGATATATTTCTCTTTTGATGTTTGTATTTATCCCTTTTTACTTCATGAAGAGTATAGGGGGCAGTTGATGAAGCTGAGGTCAGTGGGTTAGAGAAGTGCATAAAAGCAAAAGTTCATAACCAGATTGATGAATTAGTGTATGGCTACTGAAAATGTAAAGCCTTAAGGTATAGCTAGATTTTTAAAATAAGGTATAGGAGATTTAATAATTGTTACCATTTATAGCTTTACTAGTTGAACATGATAAGGAAAGTAGAACTACTTGCTGCATCAGCAGACCACATTTGTATTCAAGTGAGGAAGCACTGTTGTGTACCTGAGTGCACACTACCTGCTTAGAAAACTAAATACCTGCTTATCAAACCACCACCACTAAGGTAGTGCAGATGATTTATTAAAGGGCCCCAATTAAATATTTCATTTTAATCTTGTTACTACATCTCTTATTCAAAAAAGAACAATGAAACAATAGTATAAATGTTTTATAATGGAGCAATCAAAAGACATTTTAAGTGTGAATAAAATCTCATGATTTTAAAAATCAGCATGTGTGAAGTTCATCTGGGACCCATTCAGAAGATCAGGATACTGAAGAATCAAAAGAATTTCATCATAAGGGTATCCTAGGGAATGGATCCAGATGGTAGCATTTAGAAGCTCTCTTTGATAATTTCCCCATTCTGGAACAACCTGTGTCAGTAGTGTATGGCATTTCAATATAGATTCTTTTCTTCAATGTAAGTCTGTGTCTGAAACAGAACTGTATTGTGGTAGAGGATATCATTTCACCTCTGTGTCCAGTGTTGAAGTTCAGAAAAAACTTTGTAGAGTATGTCAACCAGTAATCCAATTCCACACTTCAACATACGACAACATGACTAAACCCAAGATTTAGACAGGAGAGTATCAGGAAAGAAAGACTGTGTGTCCATTACTAATTATTAAGTATAGCCATAGCTTCAGTGAATGTCTTCCTTAGTTTGCCTGGATTTTCTAGTCTGACTCAAGGAGTTAAACTCTCCTCTAAATATAGTAGTTTTTACCTTTATTGATTAACATAAATCACAGCAAGGATTTATCTCTTTGGTGTTCTGTGTTTTTATCATAGATGTATTAGTAATTGTTTATTAAAATAAATTTTAATATATTTAATTTAACAAATCCAGTTGATCATTCACATCTCATTCAGAGAGGATAGCCCATTTCCTGGTGATGGAAAATAGAAAAAGTAGTGTATTTCACAATATTTATTTCACATCATGTTTTTCAAGATCAAGCCATGCATGTTGGAAGAGAAGGCACAGAGTACAGAAGACCAGTTAGAAAATATTACCTGAGTCACTAGTCAGAGCCAGGACAATGTTTATTCTTATCACCAGTCTAGACAACTCTCTCCCTTTCACTATCATGTTTTCAGCTTAAAGGTAAGGTTTTCATGAAAGATTTAGATGTAGAAAAAACAATAGCCAGTATTCTCAGATATTTCACAGTGTGAACAAGAACCTCAGGTCACATTATTTATGGAACACTTTTTTTCTGTCATCCAGTAGGAAAAGGAAAAAATGTAGGTTCATAGATTTTGCTTAATGTCTGCTCAATATAATCAATTTCCTTTCTTGTGAATGGAGCTAATGTTGGTATTTTTAACCCTTATTTAGACTGTGTATTTTGGTGGGGGAAAGAAATTTGATTTTTTCCCTTGGTTCTATATGTACTTGTGGTGGATATAATTTTGTTCTCTCTTACTGTAAAACTTAAAGAGATGCAGCCTGTGGTGTTTAGTGATCTGTATCATAACTATTAAGAGAAAACAAAAAAAAAAATTTGCATTTAGTCATAGTCATAGGTAATACTTTGAATCAACTCTTCTTTCAAATTACAGATAAAATCTAGAATTTCAGTGAATTTTATTTTTGGTTGCTTCACTGATGTTTTTCATTGAAGTTAGTGGGATAGGTGACACACCATACAATTTCAGAACTGTTTTTTCATAAGGAGTATGAGAATTCTGAAAATTTATTGACCTCTTACAAGACTCTCTTCATTTACTAAGAGATGATGGCTGAACTTTGATTCTTAATAAGAAAATGTAAACACATTGGCAAAAATTGAAATAATCACATATGTGATCAGGGGCTTTGGAAGAAGTTGACACGTTAGTTACAGTAAACCAGACATTACAGAAATGTGTGTGTGCATCACAGCAGTATATGAGAAGGGCTGAAAAGTTGGCGTAGCAGTTAGATCCTATCATCATTTTGAAACACCTAGTTTTGAGACTCCTTTTAAGACACAAACATTAACCTGAAGTCTTGGAGAAAGAAAAGTTCCTCCTTTTAGACTGCAGGTAGCTTTTGTAAGGTCTGCCTGTTTTCATAGACCTGGTTCAATGCACCACGAATGCCTGTTTCTCTTTCTCACTATAAATAGTCCCTTTGATCTTCTGCTGTGGACTGGTCTCTGCATGTCCCTCCACCCCTCAGAAGAATCAGGATCCAATGAGCACGGTCAGAGTTTAAAGAAAGACTGTGGAAAGGCCTAAGGTCTGCTTTCTCAGTTAGGTGAAAACTTCTGCCCCTACCTTGCCTCCTCCTCTTAATAGTTTTATAGTGTCAGTACATGTCCATTGTCTCTTAATCTGATTCTAAGCTCTTATAAGAACTATAGGGAAAGAACTATTTCTTCCACTTCAATCTCTCTAGTTCCTGGCACATGATAAGTGCTCAAAATATATGTTTATTCAACTTGTCCAACATTATAACACTCATAGTGAAAAATACGAAGCCAGTCAACAACTAATTATCAGCTGACTCTACTGACCTTACAGGATTGTTGTGAATACAAAAATAAAAATGGAAAAACCCATTCTCAATGGTGGCAGAGACTTTATTTTGTAGCCCTCTGAACCGGATGGATAGGTTGGCATATTGACACCAACTCTGTGCACCTCCTTTTGTCTGGAATCCTCTGACACTTACAGCCTGTTTCATGACATCTAAGTAGATGATTATTGTCTCCTGAAATGTGACTTCAGACTCCTTCAGGCTCATCATTGCTATGGCACCCACTGCTGAGCGGTCCCTGGAAGGCACATGCTCCTGTGACACACTTCAGGGGCACAGCACACAATGTCAGGATCACTTTGTCACCATTTATGCTTGTGTCCTGCTGTTACAAGAGCTTCCCAAATGCCGTCAGCCTTTGGATGTACTAACATGTTACTAAACAAAGGACTAAAGCAGGAAGAAGAGTAATGAATGTTACACTAGAGATATGCAGTATGCAGTGAAAGGGTACCTATTCAAAGACAGGAAATGCTATTTTATTCCTGGCATTTTACAGGTGTGAGTGATGTTGGAAAGTTACTTTTCTCCAGGACTTTATTTTATTTGCTTATCTGTAAAGTGGGGGTATTGGAGATGAGGCTTTTCCAGGCTGAGCCTCACAGCCTGTGGTCCCTGTTAGGGACGAAGAGCGGGAGGCAGCATGTCTGGTAATGAGTTCAGTACTCCGAATGCGGTGAAGCTACCTGTGTGCAGCTGCACACATGCACGGTCTTGGAAGTGGCTTGAGCTGTGTGCAGATTCAGTCGTGCCAGCTGTGACGGTCAGTGTCCTCTCCTTTGTCCTCAACTGGGAAGTGAAGTGAACCACCGTATGGCCCAGAGCCTGCCTGCCTCCTTGTAGAGGAAACCAGGTATAAAAAGGGCCCCATTGCTTCAGTTTCTTTCTTTTTCCCTTCAGTTCTTCTTGCTGCAGTTCCATAGGTATTTAGTAGCGATTTTGAAAACTTTATTAATTTATGATTCTATGGGGCCTCCCTGGCGGCGCAGGGGTTGAAAACTCAGCACTATCAAGCTATCCCCAGCCACTGCAGCATGAGTTTGATCCCTGGCCAGGGAGCAACCCACATGGGGCAGCAGACCTCTCCTGTCTCGCCCGCTGCTCCTCTCAGCAGTGTATTTCAGTAGATCTGCCTATTCTGCTCCCCACTCTATCTCTGGTGAATCCTGTCAACCACCCCCCACACCTCTGACCTACACCCCAGTTCTTGTGGGCATAAATAAATAAAATAAATCTTTAAGAAAAATGAAAGAATTTATGATTCCAAAAGTAGACTACAGGTAAATTTCAAACTGGAACACTTACTGTTTTGTGTATATATTCATTTAAGCATATCTGGAGAAATGTTGCAAATTCTGAATTAGAATTTGTCTTGTAAAACACAGATTAATGAAGCCAGAAATTAATTTGTAAATGAATACAAAAATGATATAATATTTTGGTATAATAACGGTGTTTGGCCAACTTTTAAAAAGGAGTTCTGGGTTCACTTTAAGATACTTCTTGATATATTTATAGATGAATCGATTAAATGTCTGAGTTTTGTTGTGAAACACAATGGGAAGGAAGCCTTGATATGGGGGTCGTGACATACAAGTTAGGTTGTATTGTTTCTTTTTGAAGCTGGGTAATAAGTCCAAGGGGCCTTAACTACTGTAATTGTGTACAGAAGTTTGTTAAAGGATAATGTTTGAAAAAAGGAAATAACTCTCTGAATATAAATATTTTTAATTGCAGATGCAGGGGGCATCTGAGGGAGCTAG